TAACAAAAATGTGCAAAATTTCAGATCAATTGGACAGGTAAAAGTGTGTCAAATATCAGTTATAAGATTTGTAGCTGACAAAATTAATTATTCAAATTTTTTAATATTGGAAAAAAATTTTAATTTTTAAAAAAATTTATTTTATCATTTGATTCATGCATTGTCTCCAACTTTACACAAGTGTGCAAAATTTCAGATCGATAGGATAAGTAGAAGTGTGTTAAATTTCGATTATAATATTTGTAGCAGATAGACAGACTGACAGACAGGACAGACAGACAAACAAACAACAAGAAGTGAAGTTAAAGAGAAGTGTTGTAATAATAAAAGATAAATTGTCGAAAATAGAATGTTGCGTTAAATTTTCTATAAATCGTTGATAAATTAAATGCAACTGATTGAGTTGTGATGTGCTGATTAAAAAAAAAACCTTCTTTCTCGAAAATGAGTTCAAATACTTAACTCGTGCTTTCACAGTATGAAGTTAAAAATCGTCAGCGAAAGTTTGTCACCTTTAATATCATTTGTCAGTGCTGTAAAATTGACCTTCCTTATTCTAAAAATCTTTCATTTAGTTACTCTTTAGACACTAGTACATTTGCAGCAGTGATCCAATTTCTGTGTTTCTGATAGAGAGCTCCGTGCGTTGTATCCGAGCTCCATTCGCATCTGAGCAGAATTTTCTAGACTGTGGTCCAGTGTGTGAAAATAATTTTCATTGTTCTTAACAATAAGATATTATAATTACAAACACAATTTCCACCTTATATTAGAAACAACACCAGAGAAATTTCTAGTGTACAGCAAGCAACTTGGTAAAAACGATTCTTATGATGATCCGACAAAGAGATGTTCGCTACAGCATGAACAGCACAGGTAAATTGAGGGTATCAACTATTTAACTAATAAATAATGATCAATTTTGTAGTATCGTAAACTTTGGTATATCCTTAGATTAAGAAAATAGACCAAGTTGATTTATATGTTGTAAAATAATTCTCCAAGTAGTTTTGACAACGTTCGACATTTCCTTTTCTAGTTTACAAAATTTTTATTTTATTCAAATCATCAATTGTCCCTGGAACTGCGTTTGAATATATCACATGATATCCATTTACTTCTCCAGTAACAAGCAACGTATCTTGCACGCTCGATAAGTAGTGACATTTTATTGGTTTTTGGTGCAGCAGTTGTGTGATCGTTCATTCGAATCGATTGTCAGGTGTGTTCATCTGAAGTATATAATGAACTAACTCCATCTGGACTGAGCTAACTTTGATATCAAGGCCATGCATATGTGTGAGTCTAATAAATCGTGGCTCTAACACTTGCTTCTGTAGTAAATCTTTTTATTTTATGCGATGAACATCAAGAAGGGAAGAGGTCACTTGAACGACTGTCCAAGATAGGTGACTTCGAAATAGGTTCTCATGCGACTTTATATCTTGTAAAAAGACACGAGTTGTACGTTTTAATGGAAGGGTTGCATGTAAATCTAACTTTATAATGACTTGTCCCGATAGGAGAGGTTTGTTGAAAGTTTTTGTTGTTATATATTATGTGTAAGAAATATAATAAATTATTTGTAAAAAATATAATAAATTATATGTAAGAAATATAATAAATAATGTAATTAGCAGTATTTTTATAAGTAAACTTAATGTTTAATCGACCCCCAGTCGCTATCAATGTTTCTGGCTGTTATCCAAATTCTTCAATGAAAAATATATGTTGTTATTGACAATTAAATTGATATTATTTTGCCTCAAGAATCTCCTTTTAGAAGTCGTTCAAATCTCACGCCACATTCTGGCGGCACGTCGAGCTTTCCTGCGCGTCTAAGAGCGCCAGTGACGTAGGCAAAATCATCAAAAACATCATCAGGCAACTCTACCGTTCAATGCAATTCAATAATATTCATTAGGAATAACTTAAATTGGTCTGATAACTTGAATTGATGCTGAAGTTTCATTATGTTACGATTTACTTGGCCATGAAAGGGCAATAATTGCAACCCTGTTCAGCCGCATTGTAGAGGAAATAGATGGATAGTCGGGACTGTAACACCGTCAGCCGCAAGCCACCAGACAGATCAAATCCATTGAAGTAGATCGATCAGCCTTCAGGAAAACAGCTTGCAAAAGTTTGACCCAAATCGGCTGCCAGTGCGCGAAAAAATTCAACACCACTCGGACAACACGCGTCGGAGCCTTGCAGTAAATTTGTGGACCGCCACTAAACCGTCCGTATTCATCCTTTGCCGTGAGCTAAAAGTAACCGTCTGGTGGTGCACGGCAGGATTCATGCAGTTCCTCTGGCGAGCTGGGCTGATTGATCGCTGTCCGTTGTCCGCTAGTTTTAGTTCGAGCTAAAGTCAGGGTATGAAGTGATGGTTCGATGCAACGCTCAGTGGTGGACGATCGTTATTCTCTGGGCTATTTGCTTCTGAATATGGAGGCGTAAAGCTCTTGATATTTAAAAGAAGATGTTGTCATGGGCTGATTTCTGGCGGCTGGATTAATACGCGGCTGATTGGTGGCCTTATGGAAATATTCTAGGCGTTCTATTCAGGGCTGATTGAAAATGCCTTTTGGTAACCTTATTTTTCATTTACTGTACCAATGCAAACGAAACTTTTGTTTGAGATATCGAAAAAAATGTGAAGAAAATTTATAATTAAACTAACTCTCTGATCTTCAATCAAACCTGCTTTGAAGTGTAGTTCTTTCGGGCCCTTGGCAATTTTTAGTTTTCGGGACCTGAAGACTTTTGCTAAGACTGCATATTTCGGAGACCAGGCCCAGAGACCTACCTTGCAGTCGATACTAATATGAGTAATTCTATACTGAATAATTTTTCTTGTTCAGAACAGCGAAGCAGGGAAACGAGTACCAGCACGAATAACACCATGTACACCCCTGGAGAGCAACGCACCAAGAAACGAATGCAACATTGCACTTTCTGCAAAAATCACGGCGTCATTAGGTGCGTGCTTGCGTAATCAGATGCTTGCGACATTTAGTGATTGATTGCGACATCAGGTGGCTGCTTGGTTCTTGTAAAACCAGGATAGTTGTTTAGCTGAGAACCTTGCCTCGACATTTTTATTACAAATGGAACAGTGGCTTCAAAATTAGGTGTTTGATTTATTTTCCAGATGCATAACTATCACGAAAATTTCATTTTATGTTTTTGGCGAATGAACAATATTCTTTATACTATTCCAACTTAACTTATTAATTTTTGTAAACATAGCAACTTAAATTGACGTACTAAAATTCAGATTAAATTATAATAATTTTTATTTTTCAAACAATTTTGTTAGAATCATTACGGCTCTATTGAGTCTTGTGAAAATAATTTTGGAATTAATTACCAGTTATTTGGACGGTTTCAGATTACGCTCTGGAAGAATGTTCTTGAATAATTTTCGTCAGATTATATTGTGCCTGGCTTTCAAACTGCCAGATTCTCCTAATAATGTATGCTTGTTGAAAGTCTTACAATGATCATCAATTTAAACTTCCCCTGTTGTAGCCAAAATTTGAAACCAAATGCTATTTAGCTAGTATTAGGGTGGTATTGTCTCTAGTCGAGCCTTTGTAGTTTGTGTTTAAGTGTTTAATTTTGAATCATATAAAAATTTAACGCAAACTAATCAATCATTAACGTATTCAGTAGGAAGAGTGGGCACGTATGCACGCATAAGGACTGCCACTGCTGGCTGTGCCAGCTCACGACGAAGACACAGGTTGTGATGCGATACCAACAGGCGTTATGGCGCCACCAGGCGCGTGAGATGGCAAAGAATAACATCTTTCCTCAACATGGGCTCACCAGTAGGCAGGTATGTGCAAGGAATTTTCATGAAAATTATTAAATTCGAAAATTCAAAATATCAGTGGGCTGGAGCAAAAGAAGCAGTGTAAAAATATATTAAATAATCTAACGGACTTATCAATATTTAACAAGTGGTACAAAAGTCAGAGCGAGCCAGAATATCAAAAAAATATTACTTAGATTCACAGTGAACTGAGTTGATTACGTCTGATCGCACGAAAATTTGAAATACTGTCGAGTAGTTATTATCTCTGTAAAACCCCGTCCACACGCTCAAACTTATCGGCAGTTTTTGGTGCGTTCGCGACAATGGCTGCCGGCCGGAGGCAGTGCTGCTCGCTGCAGTGATCGCAGTTTGTGCCACCAAAATTAGGTTATAGCGATGCGAACGTGCGCGGTGGTCCCGAAAATGGTTTAAAATAATACCACAATGAGGGTTGATAGACATCATCCTTATCTGCACCAGACAGCATTGACGACTTCATTGTGGCACATTCTTTTCGATAAAGAGTTTATTTCCTTACAAAGTCTTTGTTGGCTGTATGATTAACTTCTTTGCACTTAGCAATCAGTGCCGCATAGGCCAGTGCTATCTTGTTCTTGTGACTGTAGCTTTTTGATTTAATTTACCATAAACATGGGAAAGTACGATCTAACTCGCTAAACTCACCAAAAGAATTCGTGAAACCAGTGTCAGATATCCTGGGATATGAAAAACTAGAGCTAGCGAGGAACAATGTCACAGCTCTCATCATCAATATAGACTGAGATACAGTAAAAGTTTGACCAATTAGTCGGTTGCCCGTCCACAGGCTCAAACTTATCGTCAGTCTTGCATGAACCCAAAGGTCTCGCCCGTCCGTCTTTTCCAGGGTTTGACAAACCTCAAACTCCGCCCACCCGTCATGCAAGACTTCAAACTTTGAGCGACCACACGCTCCGTCTTGTCGTTAAACCTGACATGACATGCAAGACTGACGATAAGTTTGGGCGTGTGGACGGTGCTTTAAGGTTTTTGTTAATTGCAGTTTTTAATGTAACAATATTATTTTCAGTTGTGCGACAAGTGCCGCAACCACATAAAGTTCTCCAAAAAGCGTGGTCACAAAGGAAAATGCCAGTTTGAGAATTGCAAATGTGCATACTGTCACCTGACCGACATGCGTCGGCTTATCATGAAGCATCAGCAGAGAGTGCGACGGGCGAATGTGACGGCCAAGGTAAGCTTTTGGCACGTTAATATGAACGTGATAGTCTGTTCATTTTAATATCGAACCTTTCTGCATACAAGGATTTAATTATTAATAATTTTGTTTTGATAGCACAACCAGTACGAAACAACCCTCGCGAAGATAAAGTAACTATGTTACTCGTGTCTTGTTAGAATCGGGTGATCGCGGGTTTTTAAGAAATATTAATGAGGAAAATTGTTTGAGGATCTTCACTTATTCGCGATTTTCTGAGAAAGTCGCTTGGCAGATGAAAACAGCCCCCGGAACTCGATCGGCATGTTTTACAAAACAAATATGCCTACAATTGTAAGAAAAAAAAAATAATTTAAAATAAATTATAAATATTACAGATAAAGCTCAGCTATAAATAATAAAAAGTAAGAATTCGAATTAAATATACTTTACGTACATTTTTATACTCAGAAATTTGGAGCTTCATCGCCTGACAGTGACGCCACTCGCCTACATGAGATAATAAATTACATATGATTGCTTGTTTTTAATTAAGGTAATTCGATAAATTCTCCATCGCGGATTTCACATTTCGCGTCCGGGTATGTAACACACAGCACCCGCGATAAGTAGGGTATTACCGAACATTAAGAGATGCACTGCCATTGAGAGAAGTAAGTTAATGCTCTCCGTGGTCCTTTACAGTGTTGAGATGGGATTTATACGGCGTAGTTCTTGTTCATGATGATGAAAGCCACTCGATTTCCTATCGTTTTGCGCCATTCTTATCTCCATTGTTGAACAGCACACGGCGTTGCTGCCAATGTCTCGGACTTGTGTACAGGGAACTATGCTACGTTCAATTTTTTAAGTCGATTCTTATTTTCCAAGTTCACAAGCGAATTAATGTGATCTTCCTATGTTCCCTAATGTGCTTAATATAACCTTCGGCTGTTTTTGAACATTTTTAGTTTGCTGTCCGTCTTCACTTCTTTACACTGTACATGAATCGTTACGTCCACAGCTTATCTCAAGTGAAAAAGATGACGACGAAGACAGTAAAAGCGAGAGCCACGAAGGAGCTCATCAGAACGATGGTGCTGAGGCCTTAGAAGGGGACATCAACGATGAGGAAAGCAGTGAACAAGCTATTGCTGGGGCTATAAAAGCGGCCACTCTTGCCATAGAAGCTTTACCCAAACATTTTGAACCGATTTCTCCAACAGGCGTCGTGTCACGCACGAATAGAAGCTCTGCAGTTAATCGAGCCCCTCTGAAAAGAGAGTGTACTCCCCCTAGGGAGGTCCTTCAAGCCGATGCCCAGTCACCTTTGGTGCAGTTTCGGGCCACCCAAACGTTGCCGCCGCCCGTCATGACGAACTACAACGTTCAACAATACCCCGACCTCGTCCCTAATTCTTGGGAGAAACCTGACAGCAGGCTGTCTCCACCTGTTTCCGTGGCTTCTTATCCCATCGCCAAGTATTCCCCTCAAACGCCCACGTCTAGCCAGGCGACACCTGCCATCTACGAGGTGAATGAGTTTTGATTTATTACTGTGAGGAGATTCGAAGAAATTACTGCATAACATATTCATTACAACTTAATTCGCTTTAAAATAGGTCCAGGCAATCGCACACATACAATCAGATCATCATTGTCATTTCAATCATCATCATTAAGTCTATCTTAACTTTCATAATTTGAAACCATAGATTTAGTGAGCGTTAGCAGTATGGTCCTTACTATAGATTGGAAGTTTCACGGTGATTGTTGTCGTAAATCACTCTGAAATTATTATACGTTTGACAATTTTCATCATGCCTGTTTTTATCATCATAGTAACTTATGATCATTATATATACACTAGTCTCAATCAATCGTCAGTTATGGAAAGATCGGGTTCCAAAGGCCGGATTCCTTGTGAATCAAGTCACAAAAGTACAAGAACCGGCAGCAGGCCATGGGCCTATTTCTTCAGTGCCGACACTTCTATTCTATTAAAAAATTAGATCATCATCGTCATAGCAACCATCACCATTATTTATGTGAATTTCAAATGGCAAAATTTGAAGCCAAAGTTTTCTCACGTTTGAGAAACGCTTCTTACAATAAATTCTTACGCGCAGATTGGAACATTTCATCATTTTGAAAATTATTATGCGCATGCAAAATTTGATCATATATATATGTTACCGGAATATGATTGTTAAGATGATGCAGTTAATACCCGTAGTTTCTCTGTTTATAGTGTGATTATTTTGAGATAAGTAATTTTTTAAACCCTAGTCGTATCATTCACTCCTAGTACATGCTCTTTTATTTTCGACAGCTCCCATGTAAAGTATTGAAAGTTGTAGCTATACTTGCAGGCCACCGCACCCATGAAACAGGAGATCAAAGACGAAGATGGCTGGCCAAATGTACCCGCCACAGAGCCAAGCCTCATCCACCCTCATTTCCCGCCTGCACTGCCGCCTCATACAGGAGCCCCAATGTTGCTTCCTCCTTCGCACTCGACGTACCTGAACCGCATGCCACCATTTTATCCGTTGGTGTCACAAGCAGACGAAGCCTGTGCCACGCCACAGATGTTCTCGCCTCCTCGAGGTAATATGCCTCCGATGTTCAGCAGTGCGCGCTCGTTCATGTTTAAAAAGTCGCCGCAGTCGGATTACAGTTCCATATCGAAAGCATTCGACTCGTACAAAAATCGCAGCATTAGGGACATGCGTGAGGGCTACCACCACTATGAGAACGACAGTGGCGTCGTTGATCGTGATGAGTTCATGTACGAGAAACTGTTTTCCCGCGGAGTTATCGGCCTCCCCGGAGAACGTATAACTGTGCGAGACAGCATATATGTAACTGAGACTGCTTCTTCCAACGCTGTTGAAGGGCTTGACTACTTCGCCAAAATGCAATTCCAAAGGCAATTTCCTGAACATTTCGCAAGGATTGCAGAGCAAACTTATCCTGCTCACCCGCCAGCAAGACATCATCCTCCTTTGTCTGCTCCTCTGGTTGGTTCTCAGCCTGGCATGGATTCTACGCTGCATATTCCCATCCAGCCTTGCCCTGTGCGACTGTTGCCACCGGAGCTGAGGTGGCCACTGGACTTCTTGCGTTACCCGAATCCCATATCATTGATGTATCAAGACCCGCTCCTATCATATAATCCGATGCGCTTTCCTCGCTCTAACCGGAATTTACCTTAGCGGCTTATACGAATTTTCTGTCAACGAGGAGTGAAATACTTAGCTGACATCACGATTTTTGTAGCTTAGTTGACATCACGCTGCCTCGCGATTCAGATATACCTGCCTATTTATCCAACTTTCAATTTCTAAATACGTAATCGTGTATAGATTTTCTGCTGGTAGGAATTGGTACTTATCGGAGAGAGTTGCTCTTCGAATCTGAATCGATCGACGATCGATTTGGTTTGATTTTATTTCATTCTATGTCTAGCATGAGAAATTTTCTTAGATGATAAATAATTGTTAGAAAATGTGAAATTATATTTCATTGGCCCTAACAGCCAATAAAAAAATGCCGCGCACCCTACTTGTTCTATTTCTTTGACGTGACAGCCATGGATGCTCTCTTGGTTTTTGCCTCGAGTTTCTATTTATTTAAGTCATTGTTTAAAATGTGCTTCCTATTTTGTGTTGAAGCACCTACAAGAACTCGCGATGATGATAAATATGTACGTGTAGGACTTTATGTCTTAGGTATGTTTCATATCTCTTTCATTATAATTTTTTGTGATGTGGTGTTTGCGGTTTATGATGTATATATTGTATAGTGAGCCCTATTTAACTTCACTTTTTGTTGTTTGTTTATCTGCTCCAAATATTGTAATCGATATTTAACTTACTTCTACCGGTCCAATCGATCTTAAATTTTGCACACTTGATTAAAGAGACAATGCATAAATCAATTATTGACAGAATAAATAATTTTGAAAATTAAAGAAAAATTTGTATAAATTTTTTTAAATATTAAAAAAATTAAAATGATTTTTCTTAATATTTGAAAAAAAAATGTGAAATTTATTGTACATGTGTAACATCAGCGACAGTGGATTCTTTAGAAGTGTTGTTTTTTACAAAGTAATTTTTAAACACAAATTCTGTTATTTTACTGCAGCTAAATATGAAAGCAAAATTTTCCAAAGGAAAATAGTTTGTTTACATTTTGTTGCACTTTTTAAATAAGGAAAATAGTTTTTTTTCTTTTGTTGCATCACAGTTTTAATAGCAATGCGAAGTAAAGAGTCTGATTAGGTAATCAGAAACGAATCATAATCGAAGAGTTTCTCTGGAGTGAATGGAGTGATGCTGTGACTAAAGCCGGAGGTATTTTAAGCTGTAGGGTGACGTACAATGTCCAATTATTGTAATAGGCATCATAAGTCTGGCATTAACACACTGTTAGACACCCTCTATTCCAACGCCCTGCCTCGATAAGAATAGTCCTAAGCTAAATCCCAGAACGAGTTACGTCACAGGGATATAAGGAGAAAGACGACAGCCTCTGGCCTGAGCTGGCTGATGTGCGCGTTTTCTGCTCCAGTCACACGGCAACACCTGTGACTCGGTTTCGGATCTACCATTGACTCTGTCGTTGTTGATTCAGGCACCGATGACTCTGTCGCTGTTGATTTAATCACTGTTGCTTCTAAATACCGTTGATTCTGTCATCGTTGATGCTTACATCGTTGATCATTTTCGTATAAATTTCTTGTTCATTCTCTATCGTACTTAATCAATAGTTCTCCAATGTAAAATAAATTCTTTATTTTTGTTGACAGGAAATTAGGATTAAGTTTTCCGCCTGATAACTCACGAATTCATTACCGGCTCAGCATTCACGTAAGCTCCTATGAGTTTTGTATCCTGTTGATACCGTCCCATTTACTTGAGATAAAAACTAGGTGATCCACTTCGCTATTTTTTTCCTACGAAGTTCGTTAAAAACCAGTGTATACTGTGTAATAATTTGTCGCATTCCCGAAAATTGTATATAATTTGTACTGATGTGCGAAATTTTGTCCTGAAATTTTACGAAATTATAGAAGATAAGAGAGAGAAAGGAGATTAGCAAAGACTGAACATGATTTCCCTTTCCATTATTTCCCACCTAGCCAGGACGCACTGCTTTGCGCATAATTAGGTTGTTTATTGGGTTCGGCTTGGGTTGGGTGCGGGATGATAGGGAACTCGTGAGGGCTTTTATTGATTTTTATGAGGAGTGGGGGTGAATTTGCAGTTTGATATTTACGGTTGAGGTTTTAATGAGATGGAGATGTTAGTGATTTTCTATGTACATATGTTTTACTTAGCATTATATTTTTTTCGTTATTTTTTTTCTTTTATTGTATTTTTTTACTTTTTTTACTTTTTTATTTTAAGGGTGATTTAATGGTGATGTTGAAGGTGGTGAGCTTCTACTTGTAGTAGCTCTCGATGAATTGTTGTCTGTCCGTAGTCGTAGTTTGGGCCACTACTCTTGGTCACGATCTTTCGATAACTGGCAACTGAGTGTAAACTGTAAATGGCCTAAGGTGTGATTGGCAAGGGCTTTTTAGGGTTAGTGGCTACGTGAACAGTGTTGTGAGGGGGGGGGGGGCTCTTGCAAGTATTTCGGAGCTTTTGAATGTTTATTTTTATGTTTTATTGGTGGGCCATATTTTACGCGCTTGTTGGTGGGGGAATTTGTTTATTGCGAGTATGTCGCATTGGTCGTCTGGTGTTTGCAAAGGTATGAAATCTGACCAGTTCGTGTTTCTGATGATGAATTTTATGGCCTTGTTTTGGATTTTCTGCAAATGGGATATTGATTTTTTGGAGAATGTGAGTAGGAGTGTTGGGAAGTTAGCGAGGTAAGATTTAGTTTCTGAGGGCTATGGCTTTCCTTTCTTTGGGATCTATAACCGTGTGACTGGTCGACAGACCTCAGCCTGTGGACATGCTGCCGTATGTACGGGCAGCCCGCCAGCGGAGCGTTACTCCTAAAAACACCATAAACCTAGAGTTTCCTCATGCGTTATTTATCTTCTATTTTCTCATTTTTTATGTTTCGTAATGGTTTGTGATTTCGTTCTCATTTCTTACCTCTGGACGATAGAGCTGCTACAGTGACAAGTACTTGAGATGGTTTGGTGTTCGTGACCGAGTAAACCTATGTAATTTTCCTCGGTCTAAGATTAGTATTATAGTATTTGCATTTATTCGGGCGTCAAAAAAGCTGACAATGAATTTTTGGCTAAAGTGTTTTTTTATTTATTTACAAATGGCATTGTTCAAGCATATGACGACATCATTGCATTCGGATGATGATTCGAAGAAAAATGTCAGTTTTTCAACTAAACCCCACCTATTTAGTTGCCAATTTTTCAATACAATTAATTAAATATATTAAATGATAACATTTGTTTCGTAATGCTAGTTGTAGTTGTGTTATTATTTAACCAAGTCATAATTCAAACACCACATTTTTTCTGTGTAGCAGGTAATCGAAATTATTGTGATATTTTGTCTGTTAATTTTTTCTGCTTGCCAGGTTTGTATTCTCCCTCACTGATGCATTATAGGCTGTGATGCTTTTAAAAAATAAATTATGTTATAGTAAATTCAATTAAAACGTAAGCAAAACGACGGCTCTGATTGAGGCTGTGATTTATAGAGTAGTTATTTGTTTTGAGGTGGTCAAAGACGTATTGACTTTCCCTGGTAACCAAATTTTAGGGTATGTGGGGAGCATTTCTTGTCCTTCTGAAATACACGAATGAAATACCTTGCAATTGAGCCGTGAGGGACATGGGGGATAACCCCACATCCTCAATAAACAAATAAACAACAAGAACAAATACCTTGCTACTGGAGCTCTAGAGTTACTACAGCGGTCACCAAACTAGGAGCACACGAGTCCCGGATGAAACCCTCATGTTTCCCACACTTTTCAAGTATAAACTACTACTAATTATGTTCTCACTACTTACAAGTCATCCTAGTCTCTGAACTTGTGGGCAGATACTGCCAGATAGGTTGAAACTTTTGCAACACATTCGCCTAATTATTTTGGTTACCAGGGTTTGTGTTCGAGCCTCGCGGAAACTCGTCTCCCGATAGCTCCAAGCAGGAGGCATAACCGACTACGAGGAAATTAATTCTTTACTTTAACTTGTACTCTCTTGTAATTTAGGAAAAAGCGGTTTCTTGAGACTTCTTAAATCGAGCTAGTGATTATGATAATTGCACAGGACTGCTCGCTTTTGATCATGACTTAATTTCAGTGGAGTAGAAAAGTATAAGTAGGTTGATGTATTAAGATCTTAGTATTGAACACAAGAATACATCTCTTATGGTCAATTAAACAGTGTGACTTCAAATTTCGTGTTGCATTAACTATTAAAACCCAAATACTTGTTTATGAGCAGCGCGGTCTATGTGAATTAACAGTCAACATAACTAGGGAATCAATTCAACATATATGAAGGAACTTATCTGTTTGAATGGTACGTAATAAACTATAGTTAGTGGCGTCTAATGTATTGTAGTAATAGTAAAGCTTTGAGTGTCGTGAACAACCCCTTCTTTTCATAGAAAACATTTCAACGCATGATGACTATGTTTCAAATGTACATTGTAGAATGACGTGTGACTAATTATTTTAAATCGCAAATTTTGCAGATGTATTGTTCACTAGCTTGAATGTATATATACGCACCTTGTTCAAGCATAGCAGCTTACGTAGTCTTCTCATTCATGATTGTCGTGCTTTTTGCATTTGAACTTACAATACTGTTTACGTCGTTTGCTCTAAATTCCTCAGAAAAATGCATGATTGAAATTGTTACCAGATTTCTCAGCCCCATTATTATGCAAGAGCTTAGCTTGGTGTGATGCGTGCTGCTGTAGTTCTACTCGTAGAAAATAGCTCCTCTATACTCAATGGCAGCCTTTCGCTATAAGTCTTGATATAATAAATTGTTGTGAGGCTGTGATGCTTTTGTGAAATTGTGTTATTTTTAATTGAATTGAAACATTAGCGTAACGAAGGCTCTGATTGAGGCTGTGATTTATAGAGTAGGGGTTTGTTCCGAGTAAGGTATTGTTCAGGAGTAGGGGCAAAGACATATTATTATTGTTGTATTGTATGGTCCTAATTTTTTAACTATACGCACATTAATTTTGTTGAGATCCGAACATATGGGGTCGCTTAAAATAGCTGTTAACAGCATTCATTGTTCAAACATTCAATGTGTGTTGAGCTATTGTTGACAAATCTCGACCCGTTTGTTGCTCTTTATCTGTAAGGAGTGGCTAAAAGTCGTCGGCGGTATATTTACAAAGGTTCAGTTATAAATTTTGTTGTGCAACAGGACGCATTCATAAATCATTCTTTATAGTTCTTTTATTG